AGTATCAACACCTCAACCTGTCCCTCTGGAGGCCCACTGCAATTTCCTGTCTTCGGCCTTACCGGCCGACGTGAAGAATGCCCAACAGGTAGACTCAACCATCCAGGAGATCCTACCCTTCCTGACGCCCGGCCACAGATTACATTCCTCGACTCTATCACCCCCAGCCCAGATTCTCCTGAGACAAAAGTCGAGACTCAGGTTGAAGGACGGTATCCTGCAGCGCACAGTGAAACTGCCAGGTCAAGGGGAAATCGCACAATGCGTTATCCCCAATCAACTACGACCAGAGGTACTCCGTCTAAGTCACAACGACAACGGCCACCAAGGACCAGACCGCTGCCTGCAGCTGTTACGGCAACGATGCTACTGGCCGGGGATGGAGGCAGATATACGCCAGTACTGCCAGGCATGTGACCGCTGCCAGCACGCAAAAATGACCAGTCTGAAGGTGCACCAACCTAAAGGTCATCTTTTGCCCACCATGCCCCTAGAGGTTGTGGCAGTCGACTTCACCCTGATGGACAAAGCGGCAGACGGTACGGAGGATTTATTGATTCTCACCGATGTTTTCACCAAGTGGACTGTTGCTGTTCCGACGAAGGACCAGACTGCCAAAACCGTGGCGAAGGCCCTGGTGCAGAACTGGATAGTTCACTACGGTGTCCCCAGGCGACTACACTCGGACCAGGGCAAATGCTTTGGGGCAGCCGTAATACACGAACTGTGCGACCATTATGGGATACAGAGGTCCCGAACAACGGCATACCACCCCCAAGGTAACGGCCAAGCAGAGAGGTTCAACCGGACCCTACACGATCTGCTTCGGACCCTACATGTGGACAAGAAAAAAAGACTGGCCTCGGTACCTGACCGAGCTGGTCTTCCTCTACAACACAACCCCGCACTCGTCAACAGGTTTCTCCCCATTCCAGCTTTTATTTGGGCGTGAGGCAGCTATTCCCTTGGACATATTTTTAAACCAAGCCCCTACGGCAAATAGTGGTGGTGCTGGAGATTACCTCCAGGGACACCTAACACGGCTGGCCAGCCTGCACAAGCTAGCACAGGAGAGGCTGCAAATAGAGGCCACCAAGAGGGACAGGCAGGTCAACAACAGGCCAGCCGCTGAACTGGCCATAGGCGACCTGGTCCTGTTAAGGCAGCACCCCCTGGGCAGGCACAAAATGGCGGATCTGTACGGCCTGACAGTTTATGTCGTGGTCGAAGTACCTCCGATCACCGGCGGGTGTTACGCCATTAAAAAGAAAGATGGCCCTTCTGGCACCCGCCGGGTGGCCAGCACCCAGATCAGGAGATATGTGCCTCCCAGGGCTCAACCACCCTCCCCAAGGCCGGTCAAAGTGATACCGCCGGCTGCTCCAGGCTACAGCCACATAATTTATAAGGTCCAATTACCGGGGACCAGAGCAGCCGGTAACCCCTCAGCACCTGACATACCTCTGCGTAGGTCGGTCAGGGAGCGCAGAGTCCCTAGTAGGCTAGACTTGTAATTATGCCCTGTGGGCTGATTTTTTTGGCAAAATTTTGTTTTTTTGTAAAATTTATGATTGTGCCCTGTGGGCTGATTTTTTTGCAAGTTCTTTTGCAAAGTTTTGTTTTTTTTTGTAACATTTATGATTATGCCCTGTGGGCTGATTTTTTTTTGGCAAAATTTTGTTTTTTTGTAAAATTTATGATTGTGCCCTGTGGGCTGATTTTTTTGCAAGTTCTTTCTGCAAAGTTTTGTTTTTTTGTGACATTTATGATTATGCCCTGTGGGCTGATTTTTTTTTCAAGTTTGCGGTGACCGCAAGCTTTAAGGGGCGTGTATGTGAGCGGCTGGAGTGTATTTTTATTATTTGTAACTTAGAAGGCGAATGTATCGTTTCGTTTCATGTCGTAAATTGTTCGTAGTTTTTAGTTGTGTAGTCCCGTATTATGGCGCCGCTGTCTCACTGTTTATGTCCCTGTTTATAGCTAGTTTGTATATATTTCGTTTATATTGTTGTCATTGTTTATGTTAAGTGTCTTTTTATTTAATTCTGTTGCATGTTTCGTAGCGTTTGGTTTGTTATCCGTGAATTAGGGACTATTTGTTTACGTGTAGTGTGTGAGGTGTGTGGAAGTCGATTTCCGGCTGGTTCGAGTCTGTCTTTTTGGTGTGTGGAAAGCAGCGATGAAGAGAGCAGGAAGACTCTCTGGTCATCGATTGTAAAGAACAACAAATTCACACCATCCAGCCGTATTTATTTTGTGTTTGAGTTCGTCATAGACCTGGACGGTGGTCCGAAATTGGGTGTTTTGTTTGGTTTTGTTTTGTCTGTTTTGTGTCAGTTTTTATCTATTCTTTTTCTGTGATTTTTCCATTGGTTCCTTATTTTTGATAAATAAATTTTATTAACTGTTAAAGTTTTTGTTTTATTTTAGTATTTTATTTAGACTAAGGATAAGATATAACCACCGTGGGTTTCACCACGGTTGCACTGACCCTGACAGTTAGATAGATTTTAAGGTATCCCCCCCTAGCAGGGCTTACATATGTATATATATATATATATATATACATATTATACATATGTATATATATATATATATATATATATATATATATATATATATATAGATAGATAGATAGATAGAGGAAGGGGGCCCAAACTTTTTTTTGCCGGGGTGGCCCTTTTTTTTCTAGTTCCGCCACTGGTATACGATTGATGTTAGTGCGTAATCACCCACCTGAACTGGGAAAGGTCGTAATTCGATACAAATACTGGGTTCGGCCGCCTCGCATTTATTTAACCTGAGGTGACTTGAGATAGTTGGACGCGAATTAGCCCCCGACTTGACATGGGATGTAAATTTGGGAAACACGTAAAGAGATACCCTGTTGTATGCGGACCGATGAAGACGTCCTTTTAGTGAGCAGTGTTTCTTCCAGACTTTTTTTTCTCCGGGGGGGGGGGGCACTTGAAATTTTCGGGGGGGGGGGCGGTAAACTTTCTTCGGGGGAAGGGGGCGGACACTTGTTAAAAACTATATATTTTCTATATAAATTATATAAATTTTCATTTCGTTCGGGGAGGGGGCGGTGAAAAAATTTTCGGGGGGGGGGGGGGCTTCGCCCCCCGAAGAGATGCCTGGAAGAAACTCTGTTAGTGAGAAGACGGGATACCTGTAGTAGACAGATTAGTGCCTGATGAAAGCTAGTCCTGACTTTCTTGTTGTAGTTTTCGTATATGTACTTGTCTTGGTATAACAAAATTGGACATACAGTTGCGTGTGGGGATCTACATCAGTGGGACATGTTAACTCCCATCGCTACACCTATGATCACGTGGTTAAACAATTCGGAGCCTAATTTTTGCTCATTTTCGTCCCGTACCTATTGGTCGGGGTTTAACACAAATATTTTTAGTCTTAGCCTATGAGTATGAGGTGTCAGTTTCATTTAGATCTAGAACGAATGACCAAAAAGTGGAAAATATAACAAACATACAAAACTTTATAATATCAAGCTTTTAAATGCACTGAAATAAGACAAACTTTCTTTCTTCAATAAAATGAAAAGATCTCGTTGCTTATGTAAAATTTCCCTTTTCCAACCAACTCTCAAAAGCAGTGTTTCTTCCAGATTTTTTTTCTCCAGGGAGGGAGGGGCATTTAAAATTTTCGGTGGGGGGGGGGGGGGGGCGGACACTGTTAAAGTATATATTCGTATATATTTATATATAAATTTCATTTCGTTCGGGGGGGGGGGCGGTAGAACATTTTCCTTTGCCCCCCCCCCCCCCCCCCCCCCCCCCCGAAGAGATGCCTGGAAGAAACTCTGCTCAAAAGGGCAAGTGGTTGAGGTTCACTTGTTTCTGTGACCTTGCTTATGGGATATAATATTGAATACTGTAGCGACCAAAAGCTTTTAGTGAAGAAAGTTTTCTTAATAGGCCTACTTAATTTCAGTGCATTAAAAATCTTGTAATAAATAAAGGCTTTTATACTGGTTTTATTTCTAAAACACTCTTCTGTTTCTTTTCCTTAACTGTATTATTTAAAATTTTGAATGTAGTTTATTGTCATTGGAACACTATAAGATTTTAATAAGATGCTGGTTTGATCAGTTTTTAAAAATTAAACTAGGCTCAAACAATACTTTTTTTCACAATTGTTGATAGTCTTGAACGGGTAAGCCTGCATTATATTAAACATCGTACTTTCAACAGTACATATGCTTGTAATACCTTTTGCTCGTTGTAGGGTTTATTAATAACTGATGTAAATATGTGATTGGATATGTAATAATCATGCATGTACATAGGCCCTGTAAGGAAACATACAATACTTAACCCTGATTTACATGAATGAGCATTTTTTTATTTAAGGCTCATCAGATCCTCACGCATCAGAAATTATGTCAAGTGTGTGCTTTTCATTTTGCAATCAGCTGAGTGATTAGGAAGCTGAAGATCTATACCTGCGTCAAGTTCTTCATCATTATCTTTTCTCTTTATTACCCAAGACAATGATCTCATCATATGAAAGGATGATGCTCGCAACACCATGCCCAGCTGCATTGGTTTCTCTAACAGAGGAGTGGCAAATACCCATCAGAGATGGCTGGTCTCCAGCTCTTGCATTATCAGTCTCACAGATCCAAAGACTTTCAGGACTCTCCTATGTAACCACACAGTCCCAACAAGTTTTTCATACATGTTGGCATTGTAAAATCTCCTACTCATTTGTCATTTTCCCCACACAGCATTTTTACAATTGGATCACACAAACCAAACACAAGGTTTTTTTTTTTTAAATTCTCAAATTCCAGACATTTTGCAGGATTTTTAATGGCTAGTGAATTTCCAGATATTTATAAGTTTAAAATAGCCTACAGTTTAAAAAAAATTTCCTACATGTTCAGGTTTCTGGATCTTTGTACAAACCATTTTATAAACCTACTTAGGAGAAAAAAAAAGTTAAATAGAAGTTTAAATGGTACAATGAATTATACAAAATATAGAGACCTGAAAAAACTTTTACCTACTAAAAAGAGATACATGCCCAATTCCATAAAAGTAATATTTATTTCACATCTTTACAATAAAGAAGACAAGCATTTAAATATTTAAACACTCAATAGTATTTTTATGATATGTACATTCAAAATGTTAAAGATTCATTTTGGACACACTAGTTTCAGGCAACAGTTGTATCTTCATACTTGGTAATTTTTAGCCTTAAGCTTAGCATTTTCTTTGCGTAATTTATTCATTTCATCACGAAGACACATGTTTTCTTTCTCCAGAAATGCAGCTCTTAATGCTATTTGATTTTCTTTCACTCGTCTTGCATCTCTTGAACGTTTAGCAGCATAATTGTTCTTGTGACGGCGCGCCCAGTATTTTTCATCTTTTAAATCATCAGGAACAAAAACCTGAAATATAAAACCAACAATCAAACATAATTATATTAATATATATGTTAAAAGACACATTATAGTTCCTTATTAAATTTAAAATAAATTTAAATGAAATAAAATGAAAATAAAAAAATGAAAAACGTGGGGCGCCGTGATTTTCTTACAGTTTCTAATACTGTTGACTCTCTACAAGCTCCCTAATAAAACTCAATAGTATTATCTAATCAATAGTAATATAACTTTTACATCTTATATTAAACAAGACCGATGAAAAACCTTTTACTTTCTGTGCCCCACGTTTTTTATTTTTTGTCATAATGCGCACACAGTTTGCGATCGCTTATAGTAGAGTGATCGCTTGCAATTATTGTGATGTATAAGCATTTATTTTATACTTTTTAGTTCAATCAGAAAACGTGGGTTTTTAAAAACTTTTTTAATGATAATTATTATTAAATGGAATCCTAGTAAAAGACACCAAACAAATTAATCATTTGCTTTTAAGGTCTTACCTTTTTAGATTTTTAATTATCGGCTGAGGTTTAAGTTCTTCATCAGTGAAATTTCTATTTCTGGGATCAAAATCCTCTTGACCTGAATGTGAATTTTATGAAGTATAAAAATAATACTTGAACAACCTTAAATTCTTTTTGGTTTATCCTGTCAAAATCATACATTTTAATTTTTTTTTTTTTGGGTATAAAGTCTAGATTGATATCCCATCTAATTCTATAATAAAAAGGTCTGTCACTTTGATTAGAGATAGTTGCAAAATTTAAAAAAGACAAAATTTCCCAATTTTTTAAAAATAATTAATTAGTAACCATAAAGATGATGTAAATTAGTTGACGTGAAATATTCTGAACTAAGCCTTTCAAATGTATTTTTTTAAAACCCAAAACAGTATTGGGTGTTTCTTGAAGATCCAATTTTTATGGTTTTATGTATTCACAATACAGCAGGTGTATTCATCTGTAGATAAAAGTAGATTTGATGTATTATAATGAGCTGTATACCTGTGCAATGTACTTTTTTGAAGTATAGAAAATGAATGGCACTACTACTGTTCTTTTAAAATTCTCGTTATATAAATATTGATTTCATAAAGTCAGATGTTAAAAGAATTAAGGGAGAGGAATACAGAAGTGGGAATTTAAAAATGCACCCTAACCAGTCAACACAATGAACCACACCAACTGTCACACACCCCAAACCCCTCCCCTTGCCCTCAAACCATCCCACTACAACACATAACAAAATCCAAAGCTCACCCACTAACCCCACGTTCTAAATCCCACTCCACACACAAACTAAAACCCCAACAGAGTAGATAAAAATCCACACCACCCTCGCTTTACACTTTCAAACACCACCTCACACAGCCTGACACCAGTAAAACCCACAATACCCCTGGACCACATGTCACTACATGCTCCAAACGCTTCTCAAAAACCTGAACCACAACATCCAAACCCGCTAAAAACACTACACCCTACAATGTACATTAAAAACACCAACTCCACAACCCAACCCACTAATCACATGATCCACACCATTCCCAATATACCACAGCCTACTCCACTACACACACACCACTCCATACCCAACCCTCACCACATATGAACAGAACTTGTATAAAAATAAAACATACACCATCCTGCCCCACACTTAATTTAAACCCAAACCACCACACCCTAGACCTGATTTTTTAAGCCACACCACCTCTTACCCCAACCCGCAACACCCCACTTACCCAAAGATCCACACACAATCATTAATCTTACACCATACAGACCCCCAACTCACACATAACAAAACACAGAGTAGACCACCAACACACATATGTACATCAATACATGTATTTAACTGTGATGAAAATCTGTTAAACAACACTGTATTATGATAAGGTGTTTTATGCATTTAGGTTTATCTTAAGCGCACTATCAAAAGCAAGATCAATAAAAAACCAAATCCCTTACACCACTGATATTAACCAACCGGTTGTGTCTATGATGATTTTCATGCTGACCTAGCCACCAAATCCATAACTCTAATCATTTGTCAATAATCATGATAGTCTATACACTATAAAAATTGCACTTGAGCTAACAGTAAAATCTGCAAGGATTTTTTATAACAAATATTTTTAAACATATTGGATACTCTAATAATTACAAGGAGCCGACCCGCGGTGTATCATACTCCGCTATTTAGTTGTTTTTATTTTCTACTTTTCAGTAATTCATAATTTGTGAATTCGACAGTACCAATGCTGCCACTGACAATATTTGCTTTAAAACACTAACAGTAGCTTGTTAAGCACAGGATAACCCCCCCCCCCGTGAAAGCAAACTCTTCTTAGTTTACCTCCCCTAAGTTTAAATCGTTTCAAACTAAATTATCTGCCCCTAATAGCCGTCACTAAACCTGGCTCTACGATTGCAAACATTTAGCGTGATCCACAGCTCACCAGACCATGTAGGGGTGGGGGTGGTAAGGAGCGCGCTTACAGCTTGGTGTTTTGAGATATAATATATATAGATAAAGCAGAGTCTCAACCGGTCATAAAATTTAAATATTTAACGTAAAAACTATTGCACAAAAAATACATATATATAAAGTTAAATATAATTTAGCTAAGGTTTAGTTCTTTTAAAATCATCTTCGCTCTACTATACACAATTATCAATTTGATATAATTAAAATTATTTATAATTTGAAATAAAATTTAACCATTCCTTGAATAAACAGCTGTCAGCAAAGTTTTAAAAATAAATACATATTGATCTTAAAATAACACTAATAATTACCATAAAACTCTATACAGACTTATCGGGAAAATAATATATATGATATTAACCCTTTAATCTATTCTTATTAAGACCCTTAACATAATAACCTAGGTGGTAGGGGAAAAAAAAAAGAAACAAATTGAAGGTAAATAAATATCAACTTTAATACTAAAATTTAGTTTAAAAACTAATTTCCTTTTAAATTACCTCCCCTACCAATAAATTTAAAAGCTGTTCTATATTAATAATATTAATTGATATTTTTACCAATATAGCCAGATTATCATTTGACATTGAGTAGTTTAATGTGTTCACAAAGTGTAGGCCTATGTGTTTAATATTTTCTTTGATCTTTGGTTGACGAATGCAAAAGGAAAGACTGTCAACATGAACCTCTCCACTCCTGTGCCTAAGAAAAAACCCACACAAACCCTAACCCTCATCACACAGCAAACTTTGTAGACTTTGTTCATTGTACTTTACATATATAAAACAGTTGATAATCATCTTTTTAAGAAATTATAATTATTAAGTTTTCTAGTCATCAATTTAATTTAGATTTATGTAGATTTATAAAAGCCATAAGAATATTGAACAATGGTGATTTTAGTTGAGTTTTTTACTAAATAAACTACTCCGTCCGTCCCAACGGAATAAACCTTATAGCAAATGTTGGTGAAAAATGGGAAGAAGAAGAAAAAATGTCAGCACACAGAAAAAAATGTTGAAATAATGTATACAAAAAAT